ATAAATAAAAACTTCAGCTCTAGAGCTGAAGTTTGCCAGTTATAAAATAAAAACTTCAGCTCTAGAGCTGGAGTTTTTGTTTAGTAACCCGGAAACTTCAGTTATAAAGGGAAGCTGAATTTTTTTAAAAAGTGGGTACGAATGCAAACAAAAAGACAAAGCGGCTACAGGTTAAAAAGGGGCGCCCAAAGTGCAATTTTTACAAGAGGGTAGCCATTATTAGTATTTAGTACAAGCTTGCCAAAATCACCATTACTACACGTACTACAAGAAAAATCTCAATAGCAGAACGTTGGCTCAACTGTCGGGCATTTCGAGCATCTTTTCAAAAGAATATCCCATCACTGCAGCTGTGGGCTTGGTTTTCCTAGGGAAAGGAAAACACACCCTCCTCCTTCTACTTCGTCGACCAATCTCTACTTCCGTGATAATTGGACCCATTTTATTCTTGAAGCAAAGAACCAAACCAAGTACACCATTATAAACAGATCGACCACTAAGACGCTAGTAATACCGCCCACTCCGGATAGACTCCTATAGCCGGGTTATTCAGTATCAAAGCTCAACATGAGGGGACTTAGCACCTCCACGGTCCATGCTTCTTCAAAGGCTACTCGGGTCGATAAAATCATTCAAATTGTTATGTCGGTGCACCCTTAGGAACATCAAATTAGCTCCTGGACATCTCATCCAGCTAAGTCGTCCTTATCAAATACACAAGCTATAACAGTCTACTTCTCCGTTCCCACCATAAGTTTCCAAGTCAATACCATTGTGACTACGGGAAGCTCGGTCAACAAACAACAGTCTACCATCACCACAATTTTATGAAATGTAAAACCATAAAAGAGAAGTGGATAGAGAGGAAGAGACAATCCTGAATCTCAAACTCCTTCACTCCATTCTGAACTTGTAAAAAATGCAAGACTAACCACAATCTGATTCTTTTCTCTACCAAGAATGCCATGGTATTGAGGACCCAGCTCAGCAATCTCAAAAGATATAAGAAGATTCTTTGTACTGGCTAAAATAGGCTGATTCTAAACTAGATGGTCATTTCTGACCTGGACATTAGCTATAACCATAGAAATGATAATTATAGCTCGAAAAAATTTATGTGCTAGATGCACCTAAAACATCACATTCGGCACCATGTGAAGATGCCAGCATGTGCAAGCACACACATGCAAAAACATTATCAATCAGCTGAATTAATGGAGCATTTTAGATTTTTCAAAGAAGCAACACTCACCTGAACATTTCAACCTACCTTAGCAGCATTTTGCAGAACATCCACTCGCCTCTATAAAAACATTCACATAATAGCTCACATTAATCAAGGTTTCAAACTAGGGAAACCCCTTAAAGTAGCAGACAGCAAGGAGGAAAAGGGTATTGCTCAGAGTGAGTGAACAACCTACCTCTTTGTCTCCAGCTAAGGGAGTATATCTTGGAATGGAACTATTTAAAAAACCCTCCCACCACATATTTTTAGTACATAGATTGTCTGGTTGAATTTCAGTAAGGACGTGAACGGTTTCCACCATGAAAATTTCGGTCTGGACCAGAACCATAGTTATCTCTGCACCGGTCACCACCATATCCGCCTCGACCACGGCCCCTATCGATCAATAAAAAAAGTCAGCATAAAGGATCCACGTAACCATCTTCTTAGAGATATTTTACTCTCTAGGCGGACACAAATATGCACCCTCAGAGTTCACAATAAATAATTAATTCCCTCACATTATCTAACCCATAAACAGAATGAAACCACCAGACCAATAGATTAGACATTTTCCCACTTTAAGCTAAAATTTAAGAAATTAATAACGAGCACAAAGTGATATTACGTTGGAGAGTGGTTACAAGAGGCTAGAGAAGGAACCAGGGGAGCGGTTAAAGCTGATAGCAACACGTTAGGATGCTGCCAAAAGCTTCGGGATCACCAATAAGGAGTGTTTGTAGGTGCAAACAGGCTGAGGTTTAAATGGATAAAACGTTTGAAAACACTCGGTATAGGAAGTATTATAAATAATACGGCACACTCTCAACTTGATACTTCCAGTTTAATCCATGGTGATGAACATATTCTGTGAGACTAAGGGGGTTAAAACCAGTTCGGTGTGACCTGCACCTAAGCATAATGTTAAAAACATCATTTTTATAGCAGCTAGGGCTTAAAATCAAACTTGACTGTTTGAAAAAAGAATTGAACTCCACTATAGAATCTAAAAAAAAAAAGGAATTCTCATGTAGGTTGGCGCATTCATCCAGGAGCGGTCACCAGCCGTTATAAGATCACTAGTAAACTAAAGTGAACATATGCAAATAATGCTTGTAACATTAATTAGAAAAAAGTATCTAGATGTAAACTTTCACTGCAAGTAATACAAAAGACAATCATTACTGGTAATAAAGACATCCATGATTGCTCAATCTTGCAAATTCTTCAAAAAATATAAAAAAATGATCGTTTAAAAAGTTAAGCCGCTTAGGCTTTGTCAAGGCTAATATGAAAGAATTATGGTTTAGAAGGCATACTGGTTCAACCAGCTGGAAATAATTATGGTCCTCACCACACATAAGTATACTACAGCAATGGTCCAAAACCCCAACCACTAGCAGAGTACTTAGATAAGAGCAAAAAAGATAGTACAAAAACCAAACCACTGGCGGTTTCCACCAAGTAGAGACAATTACAGATCGATCAAACTGTACCAACTAGCAAGTAGACAATCCCATAATCTCATTAAAGACGTGTTAACTCTGCATACATGCCAAGGCATAACTTCAAAGATATATGTGCACTTTTAACATAAGTGAGGAACAACAGCAAAAGCTGGAAGTTACGTGAAATGAAAGTAATTAATTCAAAAGAAGATTGATCAAAGGATAACACCATATGACTTACCCAGAACCATATGCTGAAGGATCCTTTGGTGCAGACTTCTCAGCCATTGCAACACTGATCTTATAACCTCTGAAGTCATAATCTGGTAAACATATTCATGGTTAGCAGGTAAGGTATTTACTGCATAAGGTCAAAAAAATCAATAATCGTTCTAGTTTTTTACTATTAAAAAAGCCTCCAGCTGAGTGCGCTGCAGAAGGATCTTCATATGACAATACTGCATCTCCTTTGTTATTTCCTTTTTCATCTGTATATATCTTTATGCTCCAAGGCCACTGGTCTTTGTAACCTCGTTTTTGCTTGATTCTTGCCACCTACAGATTAATGAGGAAGTAATTAAGCCTCATTCCAAGGCATAGACTACCAGCTAGTCACAAAAATCTATCACTTCTTCTGATGATAAAGCCAAGGCAATATTTCTACGATCAGTAAAAGACAAAACATCAGAATACTAAGTATGATATGTTATCTTCATGCTCCAAGAACCAATACCACAATGAACAACATGGAGTTGTGAAATAAAGAAAAATAATGTACTGCTAGCAGTAAAAAATAAATCTGAAACGGAAATCATAACCAAAAGAAATTTCATATTACTTGTCCAATGCTTCCAAAAAGCTCTTGGAGTTCTTCAATGGTGACATCAGGGGGCAAATTTGAGATGTATATTCTTGAGTTGTCACAAGAATCTCCACAATGCTCATCACACTGCTTGACCTTCGCTGGAGCCTCAGCACTGCCATGACTACCTACTTCTTTTCGAGGACCACCACCATATCCCCCATCATATCCTCCTTGTGGGCCACCCCGACCATCACCACGTGCATCAGATTGTATATTCCGACCATAGCCAACAGCACTAGCATGTGAAGGGGGATATGATGGAGGCGCACCACTGTAACTTGCTGGCGGAGGAACTGCATCAGGGGCATCGTCTGAGTTGCCACCGTAAGTATTGGACGGTGGTGGATAGCTGCTATCAGGGCCTCCATAAGATGGACGAGCAGCTGGAGGACCCTGACCATAACCACCATCAGCTCTTCCCTGATTACCAGCATACGAGTCATTCCTATTGCTTCCTCCACTCCCTCTATCATAATTATCACCCCTTCCCCCTCGATTATTTCCATATCCCCCACCACTTCCACCTCTACCATAACCGCTACCACCTCTGCTACCACGATCATCATTACCCCCAGGCGAAGGTGCACCACATTTATTACACTCAACTCTTCTAGCAAAGTTCAAGTTCCCACAACTACATTCAAATATGCCATAATTAGTAATTTCAGACAGGAAATTAAAACAGCTATTATTTCATAGTTCAAATGAGATACTTAATAGCTAATTAAACCCAAGAGAATATAACTTTCATACTAATACTTCACAAAACTCCATAGAAATTGAGAACACATCAAGCTGGATTCAATTTCGATCATCAATTCACAAAATGCTGTTTTTCATAGAATGATATGGGCATAAGTAGAGCTTGTAATGAAGACAAAGACAATCAAAACAAATTTGCACTGAACTTTGAAAAGCATAGCCACTTGTTGTCTTTAGGCAGATATAATGTGGATTGTGGATATAAAACCAATCACACCCAATGTTCAAGAATCCCTTTGTTAATCATTTTTTTCATGACTTAGAACCCATCTGGGGTTAACCCTAAAGGACCAACCGCAGCCCTCAAAAATCGGCAAATTTGTTCCATTTCGCATAGTTCATGGGCAAATTTGACCCTTTACCCTTGTTTTCAACTAAAAAGAATTGTTCGTAACGAACTGATATGACATTGGAATTTGAATTAAAATGAAGTACCAACTTCTTAACCTCTTATNTTTTCATATCAGTAGTGGTAGTGTTATTGTCGTATTTACATAATTTAAAAGTTCTATTACTACCTGATGTTGCTTATGATTCGATTTTATTATTATTTTGTTGTTGTTACTGTTTTTTTTTTACGACTTCCTCAGTTCTACATGTCTTCTTCTATACTTCTTCTATACTGTTGTAATTATGCATGCTCGTTTTGAGCCGAGACTCTATCGAAAACAACATCTCTACGTGTATAAGATATGGGTAAGATTATATACTCACTACTCTTGCTAGGCTCGTATGTAGTTGCTGTTATTGTACAAGAATTTGGAGAGAAAGAGCAACGTTAAGTATAAAGATAACGTTCGTTCCTTTAATTCGCAGATCCCAGTACATAATTCGAAGATGAAGATTCCTACTCCCTTCGGTCCAATAAGTAATTTTTTGACTGTTTTCATACAAATTAAGAAATGCATCTTTTAATATTAATTAGTAATGAATGACCATATTAACCTTTACTATTATTTCATATAAACATTTCTAACACATACTCCAACACTATTTACTCCAAAGGCAAAGTAGGAAGAAAATAGGGGCATTTGCATCTATACTCGCTTTTTGTGCCACATTTTAACCTGTGCCCGCTTTGCAAAAAAAATTGCAAGCGTACCCGCTTTTTCACATAACTTCAGCACACAGGGCTGAAGTAGCAAAGGTAATTACACAAAACTTCAGCATTTTAGTAGCCGGGCCTGAAGTTCAGCTCTAGAGCTGAAGTTTTTTTTTTTAACTCGCGAACTTCAGCTCTAACAAAAACTTCAGCTCTAGAGCTGAAGTTCTATTTTATAAGTTTTTGTTTAGTAACCGGGAAACTTCAGCTCTAGAGCTGAAGTTTGCCAGTTATAAAATAAATTTAGTAACCCGGAAACTTCAGCTCTAGAGCTGAAGTTTTCAAGTTATAAAATAAAAACTTCAGCTCTAGAGCTGAAGTTTTCCAGTTAAAAAATAAA